GTGTTTGCAGTGGACGCAGCATTAATCAAATGTATCAGTGGTCACTGATTGTATTGCAGCATTATGAGAAGACGAAGAAGGGGCTGAAGGCGCGGTGTGCGTTCCTGGATAAAAATGGGGTCGGCTTGAGGTGGTCTACAGTTTTCAGTGGGTCGTGTGGACAATGTTTCGCGTCATCATGACTGCGCGGTTTGCGTAAGTCCTGGTGTTCCAGTCTACTTAGCAGCGGTGCTTGCGTACCTCACGTCGAGTTCCTCGAGTTGGCTGGCATCGCCGCTCATGACGTGGACATGACTCGCGTCCTCCCTAGTCGCATTCACCTAGCCGCTCGCAATAATGACTTGAGAAGGTTAATAATATGTAATTTGGTCATTGCCAAAACTGGTGTCTTGCCAAACATTCAGGATGCACTTCAACCCACATGGCACACTGGCATAAAGGCAGTGAGTGACAGCAAGAGGAGTGAATGTTGTGGCAGCGGTCCTTTTTACAACGACAAACACATGCATTTACGGCATGTTTGTAGCAACGCTCCAAAAGAAATCATTGTGGCTGCTGTAATAAAGTGACGTGTCGATAATGTCCACGTTAACTGCTCAATGCGATAACCATTTCAAATATTCACAAGGGTCAGTGAAACTAGTAGCGTAGTAAAGAGATGGCGTGCTCTCATGGGATGAGATACGAAACTGCGTCGTTTCACTTGATTGTCAACGTTGTGTTCTTCGAACAAATCCACTCGAAGTAAGGCCCCATGTCGTCGCTTGTGTGCATCCCTTAACAAGTTATTGGCTAGAATAGACGTGCCCAGTTGCGTGTAAATGCGCAATGCACGTTGCGATAACTGAATGCAAACCCACTCACTGTGTCTCCTTTGGGTTATAACATTCACTAGCGTACAGCCACCTTGATCATAAGCAAGCCACAATTTACTGCCATCAGCTCAATTCAGTAAAGGCTGCTGACCAACTGTGGTATCGCTCACCACCACGAATGGAAAAGAAGAAGCTGTGTCTATCGACTGCATCAAACTAACATTCCTCGACGCGGAGAAGCCACCAAGCAACAAACCCGTGGCGCAGACAACTCCCATCCCTTCTGATAATAAGGAAACGATTACCACTACACGCTAAGGAAGATGGGTTCACCGGCTTGATTGTTATACTGCTTAACCCCACAATTGTTCTCATATCCTGGCCATCGTCCGTCCCAAACATAAAACACCTCAATTTTTTTTGAATGTCGCTTAGTTTACCGCATTTTGTTTCATTTTCGCGTAACTCGATTTGGTTCTCGACTCTCAAGCGCTAGCTTCCAGGTTCCCCTCTTGCCTAGGACACCGCAGGTCGACTGCACAATACCAACGACCCACCCTTTAGAATTCCTGTCAGAAGAAAAAATGTGCGCTAATTCCTTTTACCAAGCGGGAGAGCTGTGGCGACCAGCAAGGCAGCACAGTTGGCATTCGTGAGTGGACGCAGTTTGCAAGCGCGAGCGAACACCAATCAATCGATTCTTTTCCGTGAATGCACTGCAGTGGACAGGCAGCCACCGCGCGTGAGTGCTGCGTTTATGCCTGCCCGACCGCATCAATGACTCACACCATTTGTTATTGACACTGTGCTTTTGACTGCATAAATCCTCGTGCACTGACCCGTTCGCAGTTGGCTCTTACAAGTGTTCTACATGAAGCTAACCTTCCTGTCTTGAATTGCCACTCAAAGCAGCCTTAAAATGACGCT